AATTTATGTACTTTAATCCAGTCAATCAGATTTTGTTTGAATACAATGGGAGGTGGGATTTCATCTTCATTTTTCTCAGCGTCGGATTCTTCTCTGTCATTAAGATATTCAAATCAGTTTTCAATTGTTATATCCATTTGGGTTTCTTCAGGAGGAATTTTAGCTGTTTTTTGAGGAGTGATCCATTCTTGTTTATCTTCAGGGTTGTTGTTCATCGGCGTCAACGGGAGTGTATAACATCCTTTTCCAAACTTCGCTATTAGCTGCTTGTTTATCTTCTCCAAGTCTTCAATTGATGTCGTTGGTCCTTTCTTCACGGCTTCTGCATTGGTTTTGCTCGTAGATGGTTGGTTCGAGTCATCATGATAATTTTTCTTAACTTTCTTTGACTTATTCTTCTTTGCATTTGGCTCCAGGAGAAAGTCTTCTTTCCATAAAGGAAAAGTTTTATTCGAGATTGAAGAGATTTCCGAGTATGCATCACTATAATCCGTATCAATAGGTGTCCTTAAAAAGGACATTTTGTCTTATCCGAGGATAACTATCGTAATTTGTACTCTCTGACCACCTACGGGACTGGGTCAGAAACATAGAAATTTGGAGAGATCTGCTGTGCGTATTGTACACTCGCTGTCTCAGCTCCGAATGCCATAGAAGAAAGGGGCATGTCTACGCCTTCTAACTGGAAGATAGATACTGTATTCACGTCCGATGAATGGAGCGAGGTCTTTTCTGCAAGCTGCGAATAGCAGGATCATAGGCTGGTAACTGTTGAAGTGCACGATTATCAATCTGTTTAATTTTGAGGAATACATTTTGACTTTTTTTAATAACAACGTCTATGGATCCTCATCCATACTCCAAATAGAAGATGCATAGATGAGAGAGGGTCTTTGTCCTTCTCTCTTCTATGCATCTTCTATTTGGGCATGGATGAGGAAACGCAGAACTGAATTACCGCAATTTCCGAAAGAAACGCTGTGGCGTTTCTACCCATGCGGCGTTTAGGTGCACTAAAAATAAAATATTTCCTATGATGGTCATTGTACATAGTTTGAATGGCTTGTCATTGTCCTTCTCTCTTCTATGCATCTTCTATTTGGGGCATGGATGAAGAAACGCAGAACTGAATTACCGTAATTTCCGAAAGAAATAAAATATTTCCTATGATTGTCAGTGTACATAGTTTGAATGGCTTGTCATTGCGCATAGACTGGTGCTGTTCCCAACAAAAGACCACTTAGTTACTTTTTGCGAACGTTATTTTGTTTACATTCTTTTCCTTGAACAGACCTACATGCCTTATTCACCCTAAATGAGATCTCAGAACAATAACATTCTTCCCCCTTTCAAATCAACATTCTCATCAGTTTGAATATTGTCTCTCCTCTGCCATTCGATGAATCTTCCAGGACCCAACTTTTCCCCACTTGCCTTTCCTGCAATTTTTTTCAAAACGGACACGAATCCACCTGCCTCGCAATAACGAACTCTGGCGTATTTCCCCTTCAGCATGAATGGATTTTTCTTGGCATTCTGCCAAGTACAGATCCCATAAGTTTGGGTACAAGTACTTGTTGGATAGTTTTTAAGTAAGAAGGGAGCGGAAAATTTTTGAAAATGTCCCTAAACGGCACAGAAGCTATACTGCTGGTTTTAAGCTTAAAGTAATTTCACGTGCTGAACAAATTGGAAATCGAGCAGCAGCTCGAGAGTTTGAAGTGGACGACAGACGTATTCGATGTTGGAGGACTGAAAAAGAACTTCTTAAATATATGCCACAACAGAAATGAGCCAAAAGAATTGGTACTGTAAGGTGGCCAAATCTAGAGGACGACCTTGAAAACTGGATAAAGGAGCAATGAGGAAAGGGAATGGCAATTTTGATTGTAAAATTCGCTTACAAGCAAAATTTATAGCAAAACGAATGAACATAAATGATTTCAAAGGAGGTGTAGCAGATTTATGAAAAGAAAAAATATTTCTGTGCATACTAGAACAATAGTCGGGCAACAATTACCAATGGATTGGCAGGATAAAAAGTCATCTTTTCTTAAATATGTGACAGCTATTATTGACAAAAAAAAAAAAAAAAAAAAAAAAAAAAAAAAAAAAAAAAAAAACTTCTTCGGTCACAGATAATAAATATGGATGAAACGCCGTTAGCTTTCGACTTTCCTGCAAACAGAACTGTTGATGAAACTGGTGCAAAAACTGTATCTGTGTTTGTGACGGGGCATGAAAGAATGTCATTTACATGTGTGTTAGCTTGTGCCGCAAATGGTGACAAGCTAAATCCGATGATAATTTTTAAACGAAAGACTATTCCGAAGGGAGATTTTTCTAATGACGTAATTATTTGTGCAAACGCGAACGGCTAGATGTGCGAAACAATCATGCATGAATGGCTACAAAAAGTTTGGCAGTGTCGTATGGGATCCTTTTTTCAACCAAAGGAGTTATTGATAATGGATTCCATGCGTGCTTATTTCTTTGAGTCAGTGAAAACCAAATGTCAAAAATTGTCTACGACCGAAGCAATAATTCCTGGTGGTTTGACAAAACTCTTACAACCGTTAGATTTCTCAGGTTCCGTTAGATCCTTCAACCGTTAGATCCTTCAAAGTTGGAAGTCCGAAAGCGGTGGGAGTGTTGGATGAGTGAAGGATTGCATACATAAACCAAAAGCGGTAAAATGCGTAGAGCATCTTATGAAGAAATTGCAAAGTGGGCAGGAAGTGCATGGTAATAGGTAGAAACATCGTCAATAATAGCAGGGTTCAAAGAAGCTGAAATTATATCCTTAGCTAAAGAGACTGTAAACTGGGAGGATGAATGTGACGATCTGGAAGACTTAGATCAGGATTTACTAAATCTTTTTAATTCAGATAGTGAAGAATCAGATTTTGATGGCTTCATATGATGTATAGTTTGCTGTAATTCGTAAGTAAAATTTAAAATTTCCTTAATCGTCAATAATAGCAGGGTTCAAAGAAGCTGAAATTATATTCTTAGATAAAGAGACTGTAAACCAAGAGGATGAATGTGACGATCTGGAAGACTTAGATCAGGATTTACTAAATCTTTTTAATTCAGATAGTGAAGAATCAGATTTTGATGGCTTCATATGATGTATAGTTTGCTGTAATTCGTAAGTAAAATTTAAAATTTCCTTTTGTCAACCAAATTTAATATTTCGTTGTTGCAACATTTTTTATAATACAGTCAAAAGTCGTTAATCCGGACTCGTCGGGACTTCGGCGATTCCGGATTATCGATTTTTCCGGATTATAGATCATCAGTTTAAATCTCGTAAGATGGCATGCAGAAATTATAAAATTAAAAATATGAAACCGTAATTTATGAAATAAAGAACAATTATGATCTAAAGGGTATCAAAATTTGCAAAAAGAAAAAGCTTAATATTTATTTGTTTACTTTATTAAACATTTCTTTCAATGTAAGTTGTTTAAGTTTTGCTTCGTTTCATGTGATAATACTTTCTCTTTAATTCTATTAAACAGACATAATTTCTTGTTCAGTTACAAAGTTCCGCCGTTCAAGTCCTATAATTGCTGTGTCAAGAATACCGACTAATTTGTCAATCGAAATGTTTTTCTTTTCAATAACCTCTGTCACTTTTCTTCGCTATCGGAAGCGAATTATAATGACGAGGAACTTGTTTTAAATCATATCAAAGACGAAGCATATCGAGATGAAATACTACATTTGGTAAGGAATTATAAGCCAAATAAAATAAAAACATCTGCGCTGAAGATAAGGATAGTGCTGACAAATCAACTTCCAATTCATTACGCGCCCGCCGCCGAGCAGCGTGAAATTGATAAACAGATATGGATTTCAAAACATACTTTCGCTTTAGATCCTTTACATATTAACAAATATATATCGGAAATTCTATTTGATATAATCGAAAGTTTAAGCTTACTTTTATAAAATTGCTCTTACAGTCTGCAAAAAATAATAAGCCGGATGCAATTCGAAAATTAAGGAACAACGCAATCATCAACATTAACTGAAATAGATAATTATTTAGCTTATACGTCCATTATACATAAAATGCGCGCGCGAAAACGTATTCTGCACTTGCGCAAACTCATATGCGCAGTCGTAAAAGGTCTTACGCGCACGCGTGAATGCCTCTGCGCATGTGTCAACGCGGCGCATGCGCAGAAAGTTTTTAGTTTTGATGTCCGGATTATAGATCATTCCGAATTATGGGTGTCCGAATTAACGACTTTTGACTGTATAGTATGAGTATTACAAATATGGACTTCTTTAGTGGGTAAATATAAGTATATACGTGAAGGTAAATATATTTTCCCCATTTCTTACCTTTAATTTATTTTTGAGTTATGGTTTCATTTCATGCATTTTTCTTAACTAGTATGTCATATATCAGGACTTAGGTTGCGTTTTTGCATCTATACGGCCCACGACGATGTCACGCGCAATTTAATCTATTGCGGCGTTTACGCTGATGCGGTGTTTCTGTGTAATTTTAATTTTTTCCGCCATTTTTCTCGAGTGCGGCGTTTACGCTGATGCGGCCTTTCTTCCGGAAATTACGTTAGGAACTTTATGATGAGGTGTGCAGAATGCTTTAGAAACAATGACTGTCTATGTCCTATAGAAAGGTATAATGCAGTAACTGCCGCCCAGATGAGAAAGTAGTTAGTGACTCTGACTACCGTACCGAAGGGCCAGGGTTTGATTCCTGGAGAATACGTGGATGTAAATTGTTTAATTGTTTATCTCTTCATAGGAGGCAATAATGGTCACCTGTGAGGTGCGTCCATAATAAAAAATGACCACCACTTCTGGCCTTCATAACGGCCAAAGACTAAAATGTCTACAATGCTGTGATAAATACTTACATGTATACAAAATATAAGAAATATCTTGTGTGTAAAGAAAGATATAATTCATTATGTGCTTATCATATCCCACACAATCCGCTTCAAATTAATTGTATCATATTTTATGGGTATGAAACTCTTTATTCAGGAAATAAGAAGAACACAATTCAATATGAAAAGATTCAATAGACAACTTAAAATAGCTTGACAATATTTTTCAGTGATGGCAATAACCTCTAGCTGCATGTCCAGCATGATGTGTATCATGTGATGACTTCTGGGTCTATTCAAAAAGGATGAAACATTATATAGGATTCAAAGCAAAAGTAGTGGTTAGAAATGTACAATAATATCAAAAATCAAAATACTTCTCCACTTAAAATAATTACATAAATATGATAATATTTAAGATAATCACAAGAAACTTATCACCTGTTTTCTACAGAATAGCAAAAGATGAAGTATTTTCAAAGTTATGGGACCATTTGTACTGATGCACATACTCAAAATACTAAAAGACTGTGGGGTTCAGCAAAATGATTCTATAAAAGACAATGTAAAACTATGCAACACCATTTGTATGGAATTAAAGTACTTCAAATTCTGGCTCCATGCAGACAGGCGAATTATCACTCCTTCCAAAGAAGTAACACTAAACTCAGAAGAAGGTTTAATATAAATATTTTTGTTAGAACTTTAATTAATAGCTTACACTGTTAATATGCATTATGCAATTACAGAACAAGTCACTACTTCTTTCAGGATTAATGGAACATAAAAGTCAAGATAAAACTGAAGTAAGTAATAGCAAGGTCTTACTATACATTTTAGCTTACACCTCTTGAATCATATGAGCAATTCGACTAACAAAGCCTACAGCTGAGTGATATAAATCTGAGAGCTGAGTGAAAAAAGTTTGTAGATGATTAGTGACTGATGCCAAAAAAAGCTTGCTTTTAACTCCAAAGATTCTGCTCTTATATATGTTAAAAAGTTTGCAGCGTGGTCGGAGATGATGACAATACAGTTAAAAATAATAAAATAATGAGTTAATAAACCCCTACCAGTTTTTGGATTTAAACAAATTTACATGGCACCATTCACAAAGATAGCAATTTTGTTGCCATTTTAAACATTAGGGATTTTTAGTTGCTGGAATGATTGGCAGTAATTTCAATAAATTTATTTGTCACAAAATTTCAAAGTCTGAGATCATACTTCATATGCTTATACAGTCAAAAGTCGTTAATCTGGACTCGTCGAAACTTCGGCGATTCCAGATTATTGATTTTTCCGGATTATAGATCATCAGTTTAAATCTGGTAAGATGGCATGCAAAAATTATAAAATTAAAAATATGAAACCGTAATTTCTGAAATAAAGAACAATTATGATCTAAAGAGTATCAAAATTTACAAAAAAAAAAAAAAAAAAAAAAAAAAAAAAAAAAAACTTAATATTTATTTGTTTACTTTATTAAACATTTCTTTCAATGTAAGTTGTTAAAGTTGCTTCCTTTTATGTGATAATAATTTCTCTTTAATTCCATAAACAGACATAATTTCTTGTTCAGTTACAAAGTTCCACTATTCAAGTAATATGACTGCTGTGTCGAGAATACCGACTAATTTGTCAATCGAAATTTTTTCGTTTTCAATAACCTCTGTGTCACTTTCTTCGCTATCGGAAGTGAATTATAATGACGAGGAATTTGATTTAAATCATATCAAAGACGGAGTACATCGAGATGAAATACTACATTTAGTAAGGAATTATAAGCCGAATAAAATAAAAACATCTGCCCTGAAGATAAGGATAGTGCTGACAGATCAACTTCCAATTCATTGCGCGACGCGGCGTTCCCCCCCCCCCTGCCGCAGAGCAGCGTGAAATGGATAAACAGATTTCGGAATGGTTAGAGAAACAAAGGATATGCCTATATCCATTTTTTGCAGCAATTCCACTTTTTGTTTGATGAACATCGAAACATACTTTCGCTTTGTAGATCCTTTGGGAGCTCCAGCATCGGAAATTCTATTTGACATAATCGAAAGTTCAAGCTTACTTTTATAAAATTGCTCTAACAGTCTGCAAAAAATAATAAGCCAGATCCAATTCGAACATTAAGGAACAACGCAATCTGCAACATTAACTGAAATAGATAATTAGATAACTTTAGCTTATACCGTTCGTTGTACATTAAACGCTCGTGCGTAAACGTATTATGCGCATGCGCACATGCATATGCGCAGCCGTAAAGGTCTTGTCCCGAATTAACGACTTTTCACTGTACCCGACAATTATATCTGATGACAACCCACCTAACACAAGATGCAGTAAAAACATAGCAATAATGGTCCGACTGGCAACAATGAGGTTATAGTAACTTTAACAATGTCTTTGCCTGTACTGAAGACGAAATTATTTACTGCTGCATAATGGCAATTTGTGGACGTTGTGAAACAATCACTCATTTTAAGTTTTCACTCATCATTTATTAGAACTTGATTTTTAAAAGAGAATGACTAATTCTAGTCTTTTGAGAATTTAAACATTTTTTCATGACACATTTTCTAATTTTTCATCAACTTATTTCATCTAAACGTTAATGCAAAGAAACACATCTCTAGAATAAGAATATAAACTTATTATAAATAATTTTAAGTATTAAATTTATTTAAGCAGGTGTCCTAAATTATTAATTAAAAATTTAAAATTAAATAATATTAAGCATAGTTCTTAAAAATCAAAGTAATACACTACAAAGTCCGAAATTGGAACTTGTCAGGTCAATTCCGGATTTGGGATTTTAGTGTGATGGCATGTAGAAATCATAAAATTAAAAATACATTGTGATTTATGAAATAATTAATAATTTATTATCTAAAGGGTATCATAATTTACAAAAAAAGCTTAATATTTATTTCTTTACTTTATTAAACATTTCTTTCAATGAAAGTTGTTTAAATTGCTTCGTTTTTTGTTCTATACTTTCTCTTTAATTCCGTAGATATAATCTTTTGTTCAGTTATACTGTTGAAGTCCTGTAACTGCTGTTTCGAAATTTCCAACTAACTTGTCAATCGAAATTTTCTAGTTTTCAGTAACTTCTCTGTCACTTTCTTCACTATCAGTAGCGGTATTTTTGGATCTAGAACGATACTACAGACTTTGCCATTCATTAATTGATTGATGACTGAGAAGCATTGTCATCACAATGAGAAACTTTTTTTATATCATCTTCATTTATTACCACTTCTCCACATTTCTTTACAAAATTCATTAATTGGAAAATTTCACCTTTGCTTTGTGATATCTAAAACCCTTTAAAATTGGTGGCTATCATCATCAAATTCAGCTATCCGCTTCACTTCACTATACATATTTGGCTATGCATCATGAGCTTGGCGACTAACGACAAGTTGTTCCATTACATTTTATCTTGCTTCTATCGCGCACTGAGACTATTAAGCCTGAATTGTATTAAGTTTAGTTATTTGATAATACTTATGTCTTTTTCTTGCACATGCTTAAGGCTTATCAGAGTTCTGAATAAATAAATTTCCACATATACTTAAGCCTTATTGAGGGCCAGTGCTAGATATCTTACGGCCTGATGCAGTCTCTATGGGTCCTAACTTCTGCGACTCAGTGCGGCCATACGAGCTCTGGCACTGGTTCTGGATTTATGTGAATAACAAATCAGTTATTCTTAATTCAAATAGGCCTAAACATAATTTTTGGGTCTACTAGTATCAACAGAATCTATTTTTAGCATATGGAAAGAAATTTTTGGTAAATTTTTCCTCGTCAACATTTTCTAATGCATTTAACTTAAATCTGTAATCATCATCACCAAGCGCAATGTCAACATAAAAGGTTACCATACTCCTTTATTATTCAATTACTACCATAAAAAATTGTTTAGGCATCACTCCATGAGTCATTACCCAAGTTGTCATGTTTTGATAAACATGCGGTGATAAAAGAAAAGTATAATAAATAATGATTCGCCAGGTTGGCATCAGATCAACAATGTATGTATGTGGAATGTTTCTGTTTGAGATGTGTACCAAGCAGATACGCAGCAACGGAGCCAAATTACTGATTGTACAAATTTATGCTAAAATGATTGTTTTTTCAGTAACAAGGTACAGTCAAAAGTCTTTAATCCGGACTTGTCGGGACTTCGGTGATTCCGGATTATCGATTTTTCCAGATTATAGATCATCAGTTTAAAGCTGGTAAGATGGCATGCAGAAATTATAAAATTAAAAATATGAAACCATAATTTATGAAATAAAGAACAATTATGATCTAAAGGGTATCAAAATTTACAAAACAAAAAAAAAAAAAAAAAAAAGCTTAATATTTATTTGTTTACTTTATTAAACATTTCTTTCAACACGCGCATGCGTAAAGCATACATTACGCATAGTCAAAATTAGAAAATTGCAATCAGAACATTATTTGATGTGTACTAGTTATATTTATAATGAATTTGATTTAAATCATATCAAAGACAGAGTACATCGAGATGAAATACTACATTTAGCAATGAATTAAAAGCCGAATAAAATAAAAAAATCTGGACCCTGAAGATAAGGATAGTGCTGACAAATCAACTTCCAGGTCACTGCGCGCCGCACCCCCCCCCCCGCAGAGCAGCGTGAAATTGATAAACAGATTTCAGAATTGTTCGAGAAACAAAGGATATGCCTTTATCCATTTTTTGCAGCAATTCCACTTTTTGTTTGATGGACATCGAAACATGCTTTCGCTTTGTAGATCCTTTGCAATGGATACTCCAGCATCGGAAATTCTATTTGACATAATCGAAAGTTTCAAGCTTACTTTTATAAAATTGCTCTAACAGTCTGCAAAAAATAATAAGCCAGATCCAATTCGAAGATTAAGGAACAATGCAATCTGCAACATTAACTGAAATAGATAATTTTAGCTTAGCTTATACCATTTGTTATACATTAAATGCGCATGCGTAAATGTATTGAGCGCATGCGTGAATGCATTACATGTTGACGTATGGGCAGAAAGTTTGTAGCTTTGAGGTCCGGATTATGGGCGTCCGGATGAACAACTTTTGACTGTATTTTATTTAGTGTCGAAGTGAAATTAAGAATCGGGACTCTCCAGATGTTTTATTATGCGTGGAGGGGGGAACCAAATGTGCATGCATAAAAGCCTACGAGAAACACTTTGTTGGTGGTTTTGAGATTCAAATTTTAGTTCATTCCGGATGATGGACGTACGGATTTCGGACTT